AACCTGACATCACAATTAAAAGAACTAGAGAAGCAAGAGCAAACAATTCAAAAGCTAGCAGAAGACAAGAAATAAGTAAGATCATAGCAGAACTGAATGAAATAGAGACACGAAAGACCCTTCGAAAAAAATCAATGAATCCAGGAGCTGGTTTTTTGAAAAGATCAGCTAAACAGACAGACTGCTAGCCAGACTAATGAAGAAGTAAAGAGGCTGGGCACAGTGGCTCACACCTGCAATCCCAGCATTTTGGGAGGCTGAGGTGGGTGGAGCATGAGGTCAGGAGTTGGAGACCAGCCTGGCTAAGATGGTGAAACCCCGTCTCTACTAAAAATACACACACAAAAACATTAGCCAGGTGCGGTGATGACCACCTATAATCCTAGCTATTCCAGAGGCCGAGGCAGGTTAGCAATACTCCACTAAAAAAAAAAAAAGAAGAAAAGAAGGATCAAAAATGATAAAGGGGATATCACCAGTGACCCCACAGAAATACAAACTATCATCAGAGAATAAAACACCTCTACAGAAATAAACTTGAAAATCTAGAAGAAATGGATCAATTCCTAGACATAAATACCCTCTCAAGACTAAATCAGGAAGAAGTCGAATCCCTGAATAGACCAATAAGAAGTTCTGAAATTGAGGCAGTAATTAACTAGCCTACCAACCAAAAAAGGCCCAGGACCAGACAGATTCACAGCCAAATTCTACCAGAGGTATAAAGAGAAGCTGGTACCATTCCTTCTGAAACTACTGCAAACAATGGAAATGAGGGAATCCTCCCTCACATATGAGACCTATGTCATCCTGATACCAAAACCTGACAGAGACACAACAAAAAATAAAAATTTCAGGCCAATATCCTTGATGAACACTGATGCAAAAATCCTCAATAAAATACTGGCAAACTGAATCCAACAGCACATCAAAAAGCTTATCCACCATGATCAAGGTGGCTTCATCCCTGGGATGCAAGGCTGGTTCAATATACATAAATCAATAAATGTAATCCATCACATAAACTGAACCAATGACAACAAACACATGATTATCTCAATAGACACAGAAAAGGCCTTTGATAAAATTAAACACCACTTCATGCTAAAAACTCTCAATAAACTAGGTATTGATGGAATGAATCTCAAAATAACAAGAGCTATATATGACAAACACACAGCTAATATACTGAATGGGCAAAAACTGGAAGCATTCCCTTTGCAAACAGGCACAAGACAAGGATGCCCTCTCTCACCATTCCTATTCAACAGAGTACTGGAAGTTCTGACCAGGGCAATAAGGCAAGGGAAAGAAATAAAGGGCATTCAATTAGGAAGACAGGAAGTCAAACTGTGTCTCTTTGCAGATGACATGACTGTCTATTTAGAAAGCCCAAGCTTATAAGTAACCTCAGCAAAGTCTCAGGATACAAAATCAACATGCAGAAAGCACAAGCATTCCTGTACAGCAATAAGAGACAAAGAGAGCCAACTCATGAGTGAACTCCCATTCACAGTTGCTACAAAAAGAACAAAATACCTAGGAATACAATTTATAAGGAATGTAAAGGACCTCTTCAAGGAGAACTATAAACCACAGCTCAAGGAAATAATAGATGACACCAACAAATGGAAAAACATTCTATGCTCATGAATAGGAAGAATCAGTATCATGAAAATGGCCATATTGCCCAAAGTAATTTATAGATTCAATGCTATCCCCATCAAGCTACCACTGATTTTCTTCACAGAATTAGAAAAAAACTACTTTAAATTTCATATGGAACCAAAACAGAGCTCACATAGCCAAGACAGTGTGAGGCAAAAAAGAACAAAGCTGGAGGCATCATGCTACCTGACTTCAAACTATACTACAAGGCCACAGTAACCAAAACAGCATGGTACTGGTGCCAAAACAGATACATAGACCAATAGAACAGAACAGAGGCCTCAGAAATACCACCACACATCTACAACCATCTGATCTTTGACAAACCTGACAAAAATAAGTAATGGAAAAAGGATTCCTTATTTGATAAATGGTGTTGGGAAAACTGGCTGGCCATATGCAAAAAGCTGAAACCGGATCCCTTCCTTACACCTTACATAAAAAAGACCTAAAACCATAAAAACCCTAGAAGAATACCTAGGCAATATCATTCAGGACATAGGTATGGGCAAAGACTTCATGACTAAAACACCAAAAGCAATGGCAACAAAAGCCAAAATGACAAATGGGATCTAATTAAACTAAACAGTTTCTCCTGAGCAAAAGAAACTATCATGAGAGAGAACAGGCAACGTACAGAATGTGAGAAAATTTCTACTATCTATCCATCTGACAAAGGGCTAATATCCAGAATCTACAAAGAACTTAAATAAATTTACAAGAAAAAAACAACCCCATCAAAAAGTTGGCGAATGATATGAACAGACACATCTCAAAAGAAGACATATATGCAGCCAACAAATATATGAAAAAAGACTCATCATCAATGGTCATTAGAGAAATGCAAATCAAACCCACATTCAGATACCATCTCATGCCAGTTAGAATGGCGATCATTAAAAGTCAGGAAACATCTGATGCTAGAGAGGATGTGGAGAAATAAGAATGCTTTACACTGTTGGTGGGAGCGTAAATTAGTTCAATTACCGTGGAAGACAGTGTGGCGATTCCTCAAGAACGTAGAACCAGAAATACCATTTGACACAGCAATCCTATTACTGAGTATATACCCAAAGGATTATAAATCATTCTACTATAAAGACACATGCACACATATATTTACTACAGCACTGTTCACAATAGCAAAGACATGGAACCAACCCAAATACCCATCAATGATAGACTGGATAAAGAAAATGTGGCACATACACACCATGGAATACTATGCAGCCATAAAAAAGAATGAGTTCATGTCCTTTGCAGCGACATGAAGCTGGACACCATCATTCTCAGCAAACTAACAGGAACAGAAAACCAAACACCGCATGTTCGCATTCATAAACGGAAGATGAACAATGAGAACACATGGACACGGGAAGGGGAACATCACACCAGGACCTGTCAGGGGGCGGGTAGGGGGCTAGAAGAGGGATAGCATTAGGAGAAATACCTAATGTAGATGACGGGTTGATAGGTGCAGCAAACCACCATCACATGTGTTTACCTAAGTAACAAACCTGCACGTTCTGCATATGTATGCCAGAACTTAAAATTTTTAAAAAATCAGATCTTGTGAGATTTATTCACTATCACAAGAATAGCATGGGAAAGACCCGCCCCATTATTCAATTAAGATGGCAGATTTAAATCAAACTATATCATTATCCATTAAATGTAAATGTAAATGGTCTAAACACCAATTAAAAGACAGAGATAATTACAAAGGATAAAAAAACAAGACCTAACTATACACTGTCTACAAGAAACTCATATTAAATAGGAAGACACAGTTAACCTAGTAAGTAAAAAGGATAGAAAAATGGTCTCTTTTAAGGTAGTAAGACTAAAGAAAATGGCCTTTCACATTTTGATTCACAGGTTGTCACAATTCAGGAAATATTTTTATATTCAAGAGTCCTTTTCAAGCCTTGAGATCTAAGTAAATATTAATACTACCTTATACTCTTCATAATAAAAGTCACCATATGTGTTTACACACCATCATTTCAATTATCTCAGCAGTATCTCTAAATACAGCAAATAAAGATTTCAAAAGAAATTCTCAAGTGAGCTAAGAGATTAGCAATCTGTTCTGATCAATAAATAACCATAATGTTCTTAAAGATATACATACTCAAAATGTTACCTCTACATAATGTGTGATTTTACTAAAATACCGTCTATTAAGACAACAAAGTCTGAGCAAGATGACAGAAACAAAATGTAACCACATCTCATCACATCCCTTTCCTTTGCAAAGAACTGAGGATTTAAAAAATGAACATATTACACTCATGAGAGACAAGCATGCTAGAGAAAGAGTGGGATATATGGTTGCAAAATGTCACACTATGCTGGAAATTACACCTATAGAATGTGTGCCCTATCTTCTCAATTTTCTAAATGTGAACTGGTATTTCACCTAGGTTATCAGGTTTATACATGCAGTGTTTCATATCATTCCACTATACTTTTGATCTCTGTGACACCTTGTATTTCACTCCTGCTACTGATAATTTGTTTTCTTTTTATCAGTCTAGCTAAAGGTCTGTCAATTTTATTCATATTCTTAAAGAATCAACATTTTGTTTCATTCATTTTCTCTATCTTTTCTGTTACCAATTTCATTCAGTTTTGCTCTTATCTTTATTGTTTCCTTCCTTCTACTTGCTCTGGTTTTATTTTGCTATTCTTTTTACAGATTTTTAAAGTGGAAGCTTAGATTGTCCATTTGAGACTTTTCCTGTTTTCTCATGTATGTATTTCATTCAAAAAATTTCCCTCTGAAATTTAACTGCAGACTCAGAAAAAGAATAAGATATGACCCCAAGTTTGGAAATAAATAGCAGAAACTTTAAAGATGATCAAATGGGAAACAGAACAATTTACCAAGAAATAAAAATTCTACAAGGTAAGATACAGAAAATATTCAAACTCAGCTGAAACTCCTCAAAACAAAATGACTTAGACTGAATGATTTCAAGTAAATAACCATCTAGTCAATCATGCAATAAGGAGGGAAAACCCCGCATGTGGAATATAACCCACTAAATCTGCATTACAGACAATGCAAAACAGGGAGCAGGCAATGCAGCTGGGGCACTAAGAGTTAACAGAACCACATTTTTCCAGTTAGTAGTCTTAGATGAACTTCTTTACTACCCAACCAATTTCATGAATTCCTAAATACTACCCAACAGAAGCTGAGGATGGGCATATGTGAAGGATAAGTGTACAACTGTCATGATTTCATTTCTGCAGGTTGCCCCACCCCATGGAGAAATACTAATTTTTAGCATAATATATGGAAGAATAAAATATCTTCTTCTTACCCTCTGAGCTTTTGCAAGTTCTTCTTTTAGTCGTTCATAGCCCTTTTCTCTAACTTCCAAAACAGATGGGCTTCGTAAACGAGACAGACTATCAGTACTCAACCCAAAAATATCATCGCTGCCATCGCAAACCTCTGTTATAGTAGCACCCTGTAAAAACTCTCTCTCTGCATTATAGTTGTCCTTTCTTGTAGATAATTTAGTTAACCCAACTGTGACTCCAGAGGTAGAACAAGGTGCTGGGTCTGTAACATGAAAGCTGTAAAGGAGAGAAACATTTTTCAGAAAATACCAGCATATGCTCAAATAGAACTGCCTTACGCATACAGCTAAATTGTACTACCCAATTTAGCAGTCTCTATATTTAAATAAATAGTATGTCCTCAGTCATATCAGCCACATTTCAACTGTACAACAGCTACATGTGGTTAATGCCTATCATTCATATTAGATAGCACAGAAATAGAACATTCATTTTCATCAACAAAGAAAGTTCTACAGGACAGTGCTACTCAAGAACAGGGGTTAACAAACTACAGCCTGCAGGCTAAACCAAGCCTTCCACCTGTTTTTATAAGGCATCAATGAGCGAAGTATACTTTTTACAATTTCAAATAATTGAAAAGAAATCTTTAAAAGAATATTTTGCAACACATGAAAATTAAATGACATTCAAAATTCTGCATCCATATATAAAGTTTTATTGGAGCACAGCCACTCTCAATCATTTACATACTGCCTATGGCTGCTTTCAAACTCTAAAGGCAGAGTTGAATAATTGCAACAGAGACTGCATGGCTATGACTCGCAAAGCCTAAAATATTTACTATCTGGTCCTTCACATAAAAAGTTTGTCAACCTCTATTCTAGAACTTTATCATGTATTTCTTTACATAGGCACACTTATGTTATTTAAATTTTCTAAAAATAGTAAAACTTAAAATACAGTAACTCAGCAAACTGTTCATTAAAAAAAATAATAATCCAAAATAAGTGATTTAATTATTTCCTACCTGATACTAGATATTTCTGCACAATTTAAACGTCTGGGGGATGAATACACGGGTTGTGTAGGAAGTTCAGAAACATCTAACGCATTTGCCTGGATAGGTACAGAGCATAAAGCTGAAGGGTGTGGCCGGTAGATGACACTTGGTGAGGTAGTCTGCTCTTGAGTTCCTGATTCATACACACCAAGAAGGTTTGGAGAAGTAGGTGAAGCAAGGTTTACTTCATGGAAGCCTTCCAAGGGATCATTAGCCATAGCAAAAGCCTCATCATAAGATAACCTATGTTAAAACAAAAAGCAGACACTTATTTTTAGATAACATTTCAAACTAAATTAAAACGTATAAATTATAAAATGTGTTTAACAGCTCATCATAAATTATAAGCTTACAATAAAAGAAGACTTTTTAAAAAAACCACAATCACATGGTGGTACACGCCGGTAGTACCAGCTACTCGGGAAGATGAGGTAGGAGTATTGCCTGAGCCCAAATGGAGGCTGCAGTGAGCCATGATCACAACACTGCACTCCAGCTGGGTGACAGAGCAAGACCTTGTCACCCCAAAAAAATCAAAACAAAAACAAAACACCATAATCACTTAACATTTACTAAATGATCTCAGAGTATAACTACTATAAAAGGCAAATAATCTGATTTAGAAGAAACCAGAAAGTGATAAGTAATGCTATTAATGTGAGAATAATAAATTAATATGAGGAATAAAATTTGCTTAATTTTAAAAAATATTTTAAAATTATTAAATGTTCATATTAAATTCTCTCATTGAGTATACTATTTATGAAAATATAACAAAATCTAATGGTATTATATAATCTTAGACTCAATAACAATTATCATATTATGCTGTGAAACTCTTAAAACAATTTTTTTTAACAGAGAACACTGTATTTATCATGTACAACATGTTTGAAGGTACATATATGCTATGAAATTGGCTAACACTAGTTAATTAAGAAATACATTACCTCATGCCATTATTTTATGATGAGAACACTCAACATCCACTCTGCATTTTTCAAGAATTTACAATAAATCGTCATGAACTATAGTCATTCTGCTGTACCATAAATCTCCTGAACTTATATTTAACTTTATTATTATATAAGACCTTGGTTAGAGTAAGTAGAAAGGCAGTAAAGACACACACATACTCTCTCATACCTCTCACCCAGATTATGAGACTTAACATATTTGAGCCATTTGAGAATGTTTCAGACATGATGCCCACTTAATATCTCAGTGTATACATATGCACTGTGTGTATGTGTGTGTGTGTCTGTGTGTGTGTGTGTATCTAAGTACAAGGATATTCTATTTAACCACAAAATCATCATCAAAATCTGGAAGTTAACGTTGATCAAAATTAGTAACTAATCAATAGGCCCCATTCGAATTTCACTAATTGTTCCAATAATATCATTTGTATGTACAGAAGCCAATCCTGGATCATGTGTTTCATTTCTATAAGCTTTAAATTTCTCCTCTGATGGTCTTAGAATGGGGATAACACTAGTTTCTCTCTTGTCCTGGTTGCTGTGAGGATTAAAGGAGACAATCCATGTAAAGTATTTTGTAGAATACATGTACCTGGCACAGAGTCTGGCCTCAATAAACATGAATTATTATAGCACAGTCATTAACAATACCACATATGCTTCAGCTTCTCCATAAGCAAAAAAACAGTTCATGTAACTATTCAACTACATCACAAAGTTTACATGGAAAGGAACAAGTGTACCACTCAAGGTTTTCCTTTGAAGAATTCAAAGCCAAATGACATATAAATTCTTCATTGATTTTCCACTGTCTGCTGAATACAGACCAAACTTATTAGCCTAAGAAGTAAGGTCTTCTAGGATCTGAACCCAATCTCTCTTTCCAATTTTTTCCTCCCTATGATAGTACTTTGACAGTTGTGAATAATACCTTCCCGGAACTTAAAAAATGCCAAACAGGCCAGGCTTGGTGGCTCACACCTGTAATCCCAGCACTTTGGGAGTCCAAGGCAGGAGGATTACTTGGCCTCCCAAAGTCAGAAGTTCAAGACCTTCTTGGTCAGAAGTTCAAGACCAGCCTGACCAACATGGCGAAACCCCAACAAAAATTAGCTAGGCATGGTGGCACACACCCAGAGTCCCAGCTACTTGGGAGACTGAGGCAGGAGAATCATTTGAACCCAGGAGGCAGAGGTTGCAGTGAGCCCAGATCATGCCACTGCACTTCAGCCTGGGTGACAGACTGAGATTCCATCTAAAAGAAAAGGGCGGGGGGAACAAAACCACTAATACAGCACATCATTTCTTCATAAAATACAGAAGTATTCATTTGTTAAACTAGCTGAAAAATTTAACTCTCAAATCCTTAATAAAAAGTGCTAAAAATAATACAAGTACTGTAATCCCAGCACTCTGGGAGGCTGAGGTAGGTAGATCATGAGGTCAAGAGACCATCCTGGCTAACACAGTAAAACCCGGTTTCTACTAAAAATATGAAAAATTAGCTGGGCATGGTGGTGCATGCCTGTAGTCCCAGCTACTCAGGAGGCTGAGGAAGGCAGGAGAATCACTTGAACCCAGGAGGTGGAGGTTGCAGTGAGTCAAGATCGTGCCACTGCAATCCAGCCTGGGTGACAGAGCAAGACTCAGTCTTAATAATAATAATAATACGAGTAGAGAACAAAAAGATTTAAGTTGGAAGACAGCTGACTCAGTATCATTTCAAAATTACAAATTAGTATGTGTCACAGACTTTCCAGTATATAGACAACCCAAAGTGCAACAATTCAATCAACAAATGACAAATTTCAAATCCAATCAACTGTTTATCAATAGTAAATGGTTTACGCCTCAAAATGAAACTAGTCCTTGTTTTTTTCACATAAAATATTCACTATGCCAAACGAGAGATGAGATTAATAAGGAATGTAAGGTGTTTAATATTCACCTACATTAAATAAATTTATTATTTTTTCACCCAAAAGAATTTTCATTCATAATCCATATAACCACATACACCAAGAATACAGCTATATTCAAAGTACATAACTCATTTTCACTTGAATATAGTTCAAGCAAGTACACTAACCAATTCATTAGCATAAAACCCCCTTGTATTACGTTCACATTAAACTTTGACATTTTAATCAGTAACTATTTATGATTCTTTCTTCTATCCCATATACTTTGAATTCACCTCTCTATATCCTGAAGGTTCACTGAATCATAAAATGTAAAAGCATTTGCATCTCTGGAAAAACAAAATAGTATAAATCCTATGGAGGAAAATTTAGCAGTAACTGTAAATGATATTAAACCTGTGACCCAAATGCCAATCCTGGGTCTTTACCCTAAAGATAAACTGGCAAAATGACAAGCAGCACTCTTTGTAACAGCAAAAGACTGACTTAATAAGTGAGGGTACATCCTCATAATGCAGCACTGCACAGATGTAAAATACATATCCATATATCACTATGAAGTGACCTTGAAGATATACCAAAAATTAGCTGGGCATGGTGGTGCACTCCTGTTAACACCAGTAAGTTAAAGAACAGGATAACTGTGTACAGTATACTACCTTTTATCTTAAAAATAAAAATATGAATTTATATGCATGTGTGTGTGTCTGTGTGTGTGTGTTTCAATGGAAGGGCTGCGTTCAGTGGATCGCACTTGTAATCCCAAAATCTTGACCCACAGAGGCAGGAGAATAGCTTGTGGCCACGTTAAAGACCAGCCTGGGCAACATAGTGAGACCTTGTCTCTACAAAAAGTTTTAAAATGAGCTGGGTGTGATTGTGCAGTCCTATAGTCCTAGCACTTAGGAGGCTAAGATGGCAGGATGGCTTGAGCCGAGGAATTTGAAGTTACAGTGAGCTCTGATCATACCACTGCACTCCAACCTGGGTGACAGAGCAAGACCATGTCTCAAAAAAAATAAAAAGCAGGCAAAAGAATAAGAGATAATAGGGTGAAAAGACATGAAAGTTAAACTTTCTTCTGAAAATACCTTGCTTTACAGATTTGATTTTGAGCTTAGAACCATGTAAACAATAAAACAAAATTAAAGTTTAAAAAATAATCCCTAAACATAGAGCAAGTAAATTTGTGTACTGAGATGGTTGCTTAACTACACAGAAAAGAACTACTTCAAGTGATTTTCAAACATAACAATATAAATATATATCCCTAATGGAATGTATTCTAAAACCAAAAGGAAGTGAAAAAAGTCATAAACTATTTTCAATGTTAATAATAGTAGCAATAGTAATACTATTATTCTAAACTTTTGTTTTAAGATGAAGCAAATAAGTTATGCTAATGTCATCTGGAACTAAGATTTTCAGCAAATTAGAAAAACTAAAAAAATATAAAATCAAAGAATTCAATCCTGAAGGCCTAAATTTGACTCAAAAACACTAGAAAAAAAATCCTAACTTTATCCAATGAAAAGGCATAGCAACACTGACCAATTCAGGAGCAATGAGCACCCATGTACTCAGAGTAATACCACATCCTCCAAAAAATAACACAGGCTCCTAGGGAAAATGGCTGATTCTAGCCTGGGACAGAAATGTACAAAAGGACCCTGGAACTTTGTTATATCAGAAAGCAAGCACACTATCAAAAACTACCATACTGATATCAAAAGTACTCCCACTAACCAAAGATGGGACAATCTGAACATCAAAAAGGATAATATCTGCAAAGAAATGAAAGGCAAAAATTTTTTAATTCATGAGGTCATAATGACATTAAAAATAAAGCGAAGTACCTCACTGGCCTTCTTGATCAATGCTATGGAACCAATTCATTATTTTCAAAATACGTAAATAAAATGAGGAATGAAATATTTATCTTGCTTTCCTGTACACCAAGGAACTGAACAGCTCATGAGAAAAAGTTCTTTTTAAAAGTTCCATTTAATAAATATAACTTTGAAATCTTAACGAAATAATGAATTTAGGGCAGTAATTATTTAAATAATTATTAAAACCACAAGGTAAAAGGTTGTTTTGTTTGAGGAACTTTAATGAATCAGAATGACAGCACCTGAACTCACTGATCACATCTTGTCACAAAAAGGGAGACAATCAGACATTATGTATTTGTGCGGTAAATAAGAAATGAACATCACTGACATTAATGAAGCATGAGGCCCCCTCTAGGAAAAAAAAAAAAAAGAAAGACCCCAAACCAAATAAGCCTCTTGATTCATCAGTTTATAGTAAACACAGAGGAGAAAGGAACATGTTAAAT